GGTAAGATTCCATAGAAAGGTATCGATAAGAATACTTAAGGCTGAGTTCTCCAGATTTAATGGCATTTGCTATTTTGCAAAATAAGATAGCTTTGTAAATAGAGGCATTGAATTGGTCGTCTTTATAAATCGCTTTATACTCTTGGGAGTTTAAGAAAGCAGACGGGCTCCGAGAGGTAATATCTTTTCCAGATTGATAGTGGAGAATTGCTTTTTCCAGGTCTGCCACGTGATTATGGGCATCAAACTCAAGATTTTTAACAATTGCACCAACCTGATTTTGAAGTTTTCTTGAAAGAGCCCCTAAAATATCAAATTCATTTTGCTGACTTGCATATTTTTCAAACTCAATGGCTAATTGTTGAGCATCTTTTTCTGCTTGAGTCAGTTGGGCATTCTCATCATCGAAAGAGAGCACTTGAGAGATTTGATCTACTTTTTCATCGTTATTCAGCTTAGGATTGCGTAGAATTTTTTTAATATAGCTAAACACACATAAAATTGTTACAGTTTGTTACTTTTAAATAAGTCTTGGATTGTGCAATTTGTTTGTCTTCTGATTTTTTTCGCTTGGGCCCATTTTTTTTCGATGGGATTCAGGTCTGGAGAATAGGTGGGAAGGTATAAAAGCTCGTGTCCTGCTTGTTTAAGGGCATGTTTCATGTCTTTTCCTTTATGGAAAGAAGCATTATCCATAATAACCACACTGCTGGAGGGTAATTTAGGAATTAAATCTTTTTCAATCCAGGCATTAAAAATGCGTTTATTAATGGTGCTTTCAAACAAACTCACGGTTAAAAGAGTAGCCCCAAGAAGGGCTCCAATCACATTGGTTCTCCCCTTAGCCCCCCAATCATGAACGCCATAACAGCGTTTCCCTTTTGGAGAATATCCGTGGGTGCGCGGCATGTCATTGGCAAATCCACTTTCATCGAGAAAAACAAAAGGCCGACCCGCAACCCTATAGGTTTGCACTTTTTGGCAAAACACAAATCGATCTGCGGGTTTGGCTTTGGGGTGATTGAGCGTTTTTTTTATAGGTGACTTTCAAGCGCTTTAACGCATGCCATATGCCCATTTGTGTTACCCCTAGACGTTTGGCACGCTCATATTGGTAAGCGTCTGGGTAACGTTCTATATCCTTCTTTAAGGACTCCATATTAATTTTAGTTGGGGGTTTGTTGCGTGTCTTTTGTCGCTCAATCCTCTTGGACCAATTGTAAACAGTCTGTTTAGCCACTTGGCAACCTTTGCAAAGCTCAGACCATCCTGGGCTCGAACTTTTAATACCTGACGGCGAAAATTTATATCATAACTCATTTAAGAAACATAACAAATTTATAAGTGGTTAGCTATAGCCTAAATTCTACTTTGGTTTTCGTTAAACCCACTTAACAATGAAGCTGTCATCCGTTGTTGTTCAGGGTATCTTTTTTTAACTATCTCACCTAAATCCTTTTCAGTTTTATTCAGTTTTTGTTGAACACTCTTTAAAAGAATATCTGTTAATGTGTCCTGCCAGACCTTGTAGTAGTGAGAGATAAAGGCCACTAGATAAAGATAGCGCTTGTTTACATCTATAATATCAGTAATTTGCGTTACCTTTGCTTTGATAATCCATGCAGCGTAATACTGGTTTGCTTCTGCTGATAAGGACAACTGGTTAATCAAAGGGAAAATTTCCTGGAAAATTCTTTTGATGATCAAAAAATTATGCACCCCGTGCTGTATCTTTTTAGGACGGGTCGACTGGACCACAAATTTAAGGCGTGTAATTAAAGGGCGGTCATAAAATTCTCCACTTTTGGCGATCAGTTGATCCAATGCATCAGACTGTTCAGCTGTAATGGACTTGCCTATCAATTCAACCATCTTATTTTCAAAATGGTTAAACTCCCAAGTCATAAGCTTAGCCAAGTATGTATAACTAGGCATTTCAATCTTTTTGTAACGCAAAGTTTCAGAAATTGCTGACATTATATTTCTGGGATGCATTTGTTTTGAAACCATTTCCCGGACAAGACTTTTTACAAAGTCTTCGGATTCAGAAAAAGCAGTGTACCCTAAAATTTCTAGAATAAGTTTACGATGTTGTTGACGGGTACGATCAGCGTATTGTGCTAAATCTTTTACAGAGACCTTTAGCCCAAGAATATCAGCAACGAATTTAATATCCGCTGCTCTAAATTTAGATCTCTCATAAAAAGTACCAGAGGCCTTGAAATACCCAATTTGCAACAAAAATCCTACTTTATTGAGGTGAATGCGCATATTTGAAATATGAAATTTTAAAGATTCTTCTATCTGGAAATAGAGCCTTTTTTCTGAAAGAGATAAAATTGGTGGATGGCTTAAACGTTTTCTTTCTTGTTTAGAGATGACTGCCATTACGCGCATGCGTCTAACTCTCCTATTTTTTCAATGGCTTCTCCGAGGTCAGACAAAGAGGGGTGACAGTAAAGTTTTGTTGTCTCTAGTTGTTCATGACCCGCTAAAGTGGCTACTTTCTCAAGACTTACACCGGCATTTACAAGATTCTTGCAAAAGGTATGTCTGAGTTGGTGAGGTGAACTCATTTCAAGATCTGTGTTCTTCAATAAGCGTTTTAAAATTAACTGAATACCTCGCGGGTTAAGAGGGCCTCGCTGTCCCACAAAAATAGAGTTATTTGATCCCGCAAAATTCTTATAACCCAGGTTATCAAGAGCAAAGCGCGTATCCTTATTTAAAGGAACTGTCCTATATTTAGAGCCTTTTCCGTTAACCACATGAAGATTGCCTTTTCTTTCACTCATCGTAATGTTGCACCACTTCAAAGCACAAAGTTCGCTCACACGAAGCCCTGTATTTAAAAGAATAACAACAATAGAACGATCCCGCACATTTCCATAACGCTCTGCATAGCGCAGTAAACGATTCTGCTGTTGCTTAGTTAACCATTGAGGGGGCACTTTAGCTTGTTTCACTCTTTTAGGTAAAGGAAGGCGATATTTAATACGTTTTGTATCTACTCCCCATTCAATAAAATATTTTAATGAAAGCAAGCGACGATTGATTGTTTGGGGCTTCATCATGGCATCAATCATAAACTGTTTATATTGGCGCATATCTGTTGGTGTCACTTTTGAAAGCCGCAACTCTTCACCATTAGCATCCCTAAACCATTTTGAAAAATGCACAAGATCTCCTTCATAGCTTTTCAAAGTTGCCACAGATTTATCCGTGGATTTTTGATACAAAATATACTGTGCAATTTGATGAATTTTGGCCATTAATAATTATACGATCAGATTTTAAGGAGATAATCCATACCTCATTCCATATTTATGCGATCACTTTATACAGAACTCATCGCATAATCAATATTATGCGCGCAGTTTTAAAGTCCTCAAATTTTCTCAAAAATCTGAATTTTTACTCTTCTATTTCGTTTTAGCCCCGAGTCTGTAATTTAACCCAAAGTTTGAGTGTCGTTTTTGTTATAAAGGATTAAAGCTTTATCCTTTTATGCCTCTGGATTCTGGTACTTCCTACTCTTTTAAGTTAAAAGACATAATGTTGACATTGGACAGCGATCGATCAATCTGTAATCAGAGCACTTCAAACTGTACACAAGTGAGTCTTTTTGATTCTGTTTCTTTGATTCAAAGACAGGAGTCTATAGATAGTTACTTTATGAGCAACTCTTTTCTAGACGAAGCCTCAACACGGGACGAGCGTTTAGTTGAACAATATTTACCTTCTGAGACAGAGAAACAAAACAACACCGAGACGTTGGGAAGATATTTTTTGTTATCAAATAAAATAATTTCCATCGCTTGGCTCATGAGACCGGGCGGAAATGTGTGAGGCTTCATTCTCCGTAACGGGCAACTTCATTCTTCAAATGTGAAGATGCCTTAAACGAAACCACGAGCCTTTTAGAAACCAACTTCTGTTCTCCAGTTCTTGGATTGCAGACAACACGTTCTTTTTTGTGAAGCACGTCAAACACTCCAAAAGAAAAAAGTTTGACCTTTTCTACACGGATCAAACTTTGGATCGTTGATGAATGTTTTACAAAAGTATATTATTTGAAAAGTTCAGATTTTCCAATTAAAGGAGGTAAAAATTTTTATGAAAAAGAATTTATTGTCATGCTTGTTAGTTACAACTGTCTCTTTCTGCACTTCTGTTAACGCTATGGAGAGCGAAGAGGATTCAAATGGAACATACAAATCAATTTCATCTAGTAAAAACGATCTTAGTTTTTCAGATATTTTGAAAAAAAAGGGCATTTATAAGAGCTTCAAGAAAGTTCATTTTAAGATAGATGAAGTAAAAGATCCAATTCTTTATAGGCGTATAGTAAACGCTTTAAGGGCCTTTAAAAAACAGTCACAATAAGACTCGCCATTTATGATGCTCAGATTTTTTCTTTTTGCTGCTTTTTATTGCCTTACGTACAATTTTTCTTTTGCTGTAAAGACAATAGCAGAACTTCAGATAGATGGAATGGAAGGTAAAAACCGTTTTAGTGACCCCCCAAAGTGTCATGAGTTTCTTGACGATCAAAGAGGACTGACACGTTTTCTTAGCTTAGATGGAGGAGGCTTAAGGGGGGTATTATCATCCACTATACTTGAAAATCTAGAAAAACAAACATCAATAGAAAACAGAGCAATTGCAGAAATTTTTCAAGCTGGAATTGCGGGGACTTCTACGGGCTCTTTAATTGCGCTGGCACTGGCTTCCCCTTGGCATCGTGATATTGATGGACATCCTGATTCCAAAGAGGACAGACCATGGGCAAAAGGACCTTATTCTGCAAGTGAAATTATCACGCTTTATCAAGAGATAGGCGAAGAAATTTTTGTGCCCAAATACAACGCTTGTAGCTTTTATGGGACATTTTACTGTCTTTATTCTTTTATTCCTTGTTGTTTTTGTACGCCTTGTTTCTTCTGCTGTAAGTCATGTAAAAAAAGTTGTGGAGGACTAGTAGGTCCTAGGTACTCTAATAACCGTATACAGGAAAAGTTAGAATATTTTTTTGGAGACATGGTCCTAGGGGAAACTGTAGTGCCTGTCACTGTTCCCACCCTCGCCATACAATCTAACAACCTCAACGCAGTTGAAAATCAGGCAGAAACTCAAATTGTTTATTTTAATAGCTATAAGCACCCTAAGTTGAAATTATCTGATGCAGCTTTGGCTTCATCTGCTGCCCCAACATTCTTTCCCCCTGCAAAGATATAATATAACGTATTCACAGAGAAATTCGCAGAAGAAGAAGAGGAATATGGAGTGTATACTGATGGAGGTATTGGAGATAATAGTCCCGTCATAGGGGGCTTACTAACAGCAGAACAACATATAAAAGAAATACGGGAATCAGACAGGTCCGAAAATAGAAGTAATCTTCCAGAAAGCAATTTATTGACAGATTACCTTGTTTTATCGGTAGGAACGGGCCGTAAGAGTGGGCAATTAAATGAAAAAACTCTTAACGGAACACTTATCAATCTAATAGAACCACTGATTGAAACTACTCTCTACTCTAGTAACGAAATTCAACACGCAACACTGAAAGAGCTCTTTGATATATCCAACCCAGCCCCAGAAGCGAGAAAGTATTTTCGTGTACAACCTGTAATTGCAACAACAAGAAAAATGGACGATTATGAAATCGTAAATGAGCTACGCGAAGAAGGAAAAAAATACTTAAATGAACAAGAATCAGATTACAAAGATTTCCTTCAAGCCATTGAATTGGATTTTGGCACCCAAATGCAAGAAGAAATATCACGTGTTGTTCCAAATATTGAGGAGGGAAGCCTTGGCTCAGATTCTTCGAACTCAATGCGTGACTTAGCTGGTCAATTGAAACAGAACCACTCATCTAGGGACATCGAAAAATTAGTAAAAATACTGCAAGAAAATAATGAATCGGCAGAATTTTCTTCTGGGAGAAAATCTTCCAAATATAATGAAGAAAGCTCAGACTAAGACATGTTGCACGGATAAAATAATAAGCTGTTTTAGTAATCCTCTTTTAAAAGGAACGTTTCATGACACAAGGCACCGTTAAATTCTTCAACACAGAAAAAGGCTTCGGGTTCATCAGGCCACAAGACGGTTCAGTTGAGGTGTTTGTTCATGTTAGTCAAGTTACCAAAGCTGGAATGGGCACATTAACCATTGGTGACGAAGTATCTTTCGATCTGGAATCACACAATGGGCGTTACAGGGCCACAGATCTTAAGAAAGTGGAAGGCTAACAGCACATGGCAAAAGGAACGGTCAGATTTTATTCAAACAAAGGTTTTGGTTTCATCAAGCCAGAACAGGGCGGGGAAGATGTCTTCTTTCATCGCACGACGGTTGAAAAGTGCCTAGACCTCAAACGCCTTGAAGAAGGACAAAAGATCGCTTTTATCGTCATTGAAAAAGACGGAAGAAACGTGGCCGATGATTTGTCCCTTCTGGATGCAGAAGAGTGAAACAACCCTGTTGTTTTGCGTCTTTAGATGTCTTAATGTTTTCAAATTAGCGTGGCGTACAGGAGAACGCAACCCTCCCGCACACCACTAACACAGCCAAACTTATAGGAGAATGGCCATGTCTGGGAAAACTAATAAAAGAACTCGAACACTTTTAACAAGGGCAAAATTTATTAAAGCCCTCTTAATTTGTTCCGCTTTTATCTCTGGAGCAAACGCTTCAAAGGATACACAGTGGGAGCTTTTAGAGGACGGGGCTCTCAAAACTCCTCAAGGACTCATCCACCCCTGGAACCAAGACAAACGTCTCAGAGAGGCTTTTAAACGCTCTCAGAAATCCGCTGAATGGCTCCTAGAGCAATCAACCCTCAGAACTAAGCAAGTGGGCAAAGAGACTCTCTTGGAACTGAACATACCTTTGAAGGGGGGTATGCAGATTGGCAGTAGGGTCGCACCGATTGTTGAGAAAGGGTTAGACAAAGCTGTTAACCTCCTCGCTCCAGCTGGCGCTGCTATTGGAGCCGCTATCGGGATAAAGGGCACTCGAGAGGCCCTAAAGAACTACGACTCTCTCCCCTCTACAGACCTTAAAGATAAAATGATGGAGCCCGTCATGAAGGCTCAAGAGGACGCGGCGTTCACTCCAAAAGTGATCGTGCCGACAAAAGCTATGGAAAAGACAGCGCCTCTTCCTCAGCAAAAGGCAAAACCACATCCATCTTCTTCTCTACCTGTCCCTAAAGAAAAACCCATTCATGAGCATCAAGACTCTAGAACGGGAACCTCAAGAGGGCACATACACTCTGATAAAAATATATACCGACCTTCTATTCCAAAGGAATCTGTCTGTAAAAAGTCTCCAATCTCTTTTATAGACCCTTCAACCATATCTCTTCCGACTCCTAGCAGCTTTGCACTTAGTCAAGTGGATTCCCTCATCGATCAACAGGTTAATAGACAAATTAAGAGAATTCACGCAGCACAAACCGTCCAGGCGATTCAAAAACAAATCCAAAAGCAGATCGACCAAAGCGCAAAGACGCTTGAGAAGAAACAAGGGACAATTCTTAAGAAACTCAATCTTCACGATAAGAAAATACCACAAGAGATCAAAAAGTTGCTCAAGGACTTACCCTTGTCTGAAGCTCTCCTCGAGCTATATAATGACATCCTCTCCCACCCGAATGCTTTGATGACAAATTATCAGAAGAACACAGCGCCATGGGCAACCACACCCAAACAAGAGGCCAAGCTTCAAAGTGTGATGACTTGTCCCGCGAAGCCCAATGGAATTTGGCCGTGGGCAAAAAAAAACGTCCGCTTTAAGAAAAAAGATTTAGAAACCTGCAATAAAAATCTGACGACGAAAGAAAAACAATATTTCTTCAAGTATTGGAATGGGGACAAGAAAAAGCACATTGGACTTCTCGAAGCAGATGACCTGAAAAAACTTGTTCAAATGGAGCTGCTTGGAGGAGACAAAAGTGCCACTTGTGCCTTCACATTAAAGGCGAAGGTTGTCCCTAATACAATTATCAACGCAGAAATCTTAGAACTTCTAGACTTCATGGCGAACCAAAACCTCCCTTTTGGAACAACGCCTTACCGATGCACCCATAATATCAATGGAGATTTTGCTCTCCTAAACCCAACCAATGGACTCGTCTATCCCATATTCGTAGAAGATCGAAAACGCTCCGATTGTTTTCTTCCCAAGAACTATAAAAATTCAGAAGAAGACATCCAAACAGGGAAATGGTTGTTGGAGCATTATGGCCCTTATGCAAAAG